CTACTTGGCTCTCATCTAGGAGGCATCGACTCCCAAGTCCCGCCTTCACCCCCCCCATTCTGTCGCCCGTCTCGACAGATCTTCGGGTCGGAGGAGGAGGGGAGACAGGGAGGGGGGGGGGGGGGGCGGGGTACGAATTCTGCGGCGTGCAGCTGGATCCGTTTCCGCCGCCGCGGGCGCATTCCTCGATGCACTGGCGCCTCTGGCGCTGGGAGGCGCTAGAGAAATCAGCTGCGTGAGCTGGTTCGCTAACCCCTTTCTGGCTTCAGGGGCAGCGATAGGGGAGGATAGGCACAATTAGGGGGGGATGCATCGACCCCCAATCGCCCATTGATCGCCGATAGGGGTCCGATAGCCCCGACCTGCCCAGGAGCGCGCGGATTCACGATCTGGGGCCGAGGTACCGCCGATTCCAGGTCGAGTTTACCCCCCTCTGCCAGTCCCCCCTATCGTTGCCCCTCATTGCTAGGCCCTCCCCCGGGGCGGGTCGTTTCCCCCGGGGGCGGGTCGTCGTCGTCGTCGTCGTCGTCGTCGCCGTCGTCGTCGTCGTCGTCGTCGTCGTCGTCGTCGTCGTCGTCGTCCCTCTCGGCAGACCTCGAGCCCAACGGAGAAGAGGTCCCCACTGTCGTTTTCTGTCTCGGCGTCGGCGTCCCGAGGGCCGCCCTCGGGCCCCAGGTGTCACGCGGCGGGGAGGGCACGGGGTCGAGAATCGCGCCGCCTCCTCCTCCTCCTCCTCCTCCTCCTCCTCCTCCTCCTCCTCCTCCTCCTCCTCCTCCTCCCTCTTCTCCGTAGACAGTTTGGCTCAAGGCGCGCCGCCTCCGCGCGTTCTCTGTTCCCGAGTCTCGCAGACGCGGCATGGCTGTTGGCCAGGGCTGGGACGGCAACGCCCTCGTCAAGCTCATGACGGATTTTCCAGTGGCGCTGGCAGGCCTCACGGCCAAGGTCACAAGCACGGTGGTGGCAGCGGCGGCGCGCGGGGCGGTACACGGAGCGGGTGCGGGCGAAGTTGCTGGAGAGGGCGCCGTGCTCGCAGTCGAGGCGCTCGACGGCATGCAGAACATCCTGTCCGACCTGGCGGTCCCAGGCGTCTCTGAGGCGAAAGCACGCCTCCGCGAAGTCGGCCGTGCGGACCTCGCGAGCCGTTTGGGGAAGCAACCCAATTTGCGAAATGGGATTGCTCACCGCGACGTCAGCTTTCGGGGCGACATCGAGACAGCGATGAACGACCCGTCTTTCGTCGAGCAGGTGCAACCCACGGAGTTGAAGTTCAGCGAGAAGACGGTCCCCCTCGTGAAGGAGGGCAAGACCGCAACCGACGAGGATGTGCAGAAGCATGAGAACAAGAAGGGCACCACGTTTGAGCGGAACGGCAGCGGCTACGGCGGCACGCTGAAAACGTTCGACGCGGGGCAGCATATCCAGGTGCTGGAGGCCAAGTTCTTGAACTCCGAGGCGGAGAATCAGGAGCTCGAGCAGCGGGTGGTGGAGGCCAGCCAGAAGCTCGCGCAGCTGGAGGTCCAGTTCGTGAAGCTTCAGGCGGAGAAGGGCGAGCTCCAGAGCGCAATGGACACGACCCTCTCGGAGATGGTGGAGCAAATCAAGATCCAGGAGGGCAAGGGTGACGAGTGCCAGAATGAGCTCTCCAAGGAGCGGGCCGCAGTGGCATCGCTCAAGCGGGAGTTCCAGGCACTCGGCGACCACATGGACAACGTTTGCTACACCGTCAAGGGTACAATCATGTACCTCCCGACGTCGGACAGCAAGAAGACGCTCGACACGGCCGTGACGGCAATGGAAGTGGGTCTTGAACGTACCTGCACAGCGGATCCGGATGGGTAGCAGTGGCGGCAAGCCTTTGGGTGGTGGTGGACCCGATGCGGTTGCCCGTGAGGCAAGCATACCAGTACCTGTCCTGAGGGCGCCTGGGGGCTCGGACAGAAAGAGCCCTTGGGTGGGCGCTGGACCCGATGCGGTTGCTCCCAGGGCAAGCAAACGAGCGTCCGCCTGTCGCCGTGATATGTGATACGATATCTGTGCATTTGACAACTTGCAGCGTGTATGGCATCATTCCAATAGTTTCTCACGGCTGTCTGTCTGGGATTATTGGCCCAAGGAGAGCGCGCCAGTGGATCTCCCTGAATACACTGGGGGGGATGCAGAACCCCCCCCCCCCTTCCCCCTTCCAGGGGGGGGTCCGGACCCCCCCACCTTTCCCCCCTCCCCCCTTAAAGGGGGGAGGGTTTCCGAACCCCCCTCCCCCCCCCCCCCCCCTTTGAAGGGGGGGGGGGTCCGGACCCCCCCCCCCCTCCCCTCCTTGGCGCTGGAAAGGGGAGGGGGGCGGAGCCCCCCCCCTCCTCCCCCCCTTTGCGCCGGAAAGGGAGCCGGGGAGGGGAGGCCTCTCTCGCTCCTCCTTTCTGCGCCAGAGAAGGTGTGTAGTGAGTGCGGAGTTTTGGAGTAGGGAGTGGTGAGTTGTAAGTAGTGAGTTAATGCGTAGTGAGTGTTGAGTATTGGGTAGTGAGTAGTGGGTAGTGAGTGGCGAGTAGGGAGTAGGGAGTAGGGAGTGGGGAGTAGTGAGTAGTGAATAGTGAGTAGTGTGTACTGATAAGTTAGTAGTGGGTGGCGAGTAGTGAGTAGTGAGTAGCGAGTAGCGAGTAGCGAGTAGTGAGTACTGAATAGGGAGTAGGGAGTAATGAGTAGTGGGTAGTGAGTAGTGGGTAGTGAGTAGTGGGTGGCGAGTAGTGATTAGTGAGTAGTGAGTAGTGGGTGGTGCGTAGTGCGTAGTGAGTAGTGAGGGGTGAGTAGTGAGTAGTGAGTAGTGAGTAGTAAGTAGTGAGTCGTGAGTAGAGAGTAGCGAGTAGTGAGTAGTGAGTAGTGAGTACTGAGTACTGAGTAGTACGTAGTGCGTAGTGAGTAGTGAGTAGGGAGTAGTAATGAATAGAGAGTAGTGGGTAGTGGCAGTGGGTAGTGTGTAGTGAGTAGCGAGTAGGGAGCAGCGAGTAGTGAGTAGTGAGGTGCGAGTAGGGCGTAGGGAGTAGTGAGTAGTGAGTAGAGAGTAGTCAGTAGTGAGTAGTGGGTAGTGATTAGTGAGTAACGACTAGGGCGAGTAGTGAGCAGTGAGTAGGGAGTAGGGAGTAGGGAGTAGTGATAAGTGAGTAGTATGAAGTGGGTAGCGCATAGTGGGTAGCGAGTAGCGATTAGTGAGTAGTGAGTAGTGGGTAGTGAGTAGAGACTAGTGACTAGGGACTAGTGACCTGTGACTAGTGACTAGAGACTATGTAGTGACTAGTGAGTAGGGAGTAGTGAGTAGTGAGTAGTGAGTAGCGGGGAGTGAGTAGTGAGTATTGAGTAGCGAGTATGCGAGTAGCGAGTAGTGGGTACTGGGTACTGTGTAGTCAGTATTGTCTAGGGAATAGGGAGTAGCGAGTAGCGAGTAGGGGGTGGTGAGTAATGATTTGTTGGTAATGGGTAGAGAGTAGTGAGTAGTGGATAGTGGGTAGTGGGTAATGAGTAGTGATTAGTGAGTAGTGAGTATTGAGTAGTGAGTACTGCTTAGTGAGTAATGAGTATTGAGTAGTGGGTAGTGAGGAGTGAGTAGTGAGCAGTGAGTAGGGAGGAGGGAGTGGTGAGTAGGGAGTAGTGAGTAGTGAGTAGTGGGTGGTGGGTAGTGGATAGTGGATAGTGATATGTGAGTCGTGAGTAGTGAGTGGGGGGTAGTGAGAAGTGAGTAGCGAATAGCGAGTAGTCAGTAGTGGGTAGAGAGTAAGGAGTAGTGAGTACTCTTTGGGGCTGGGGTTAGTGGTTGGGGTTAGGGTTCGGGTATTGGGTTAGGGTGAGGACTAAGGGTAGGGGTGGCGGGGTCGGATCCAGAGTCAGGGGGCGGCGTGGCGAAAGGGGTGGAGGGGGGGGGGGGGTTGCGGCCAAAGGGGGGGGGGTGGGGGTCGGACCTCCCCCCTTTTTTAAAGAGGAGAGGGGGGGGTTCCTGGCGACGGACCAGGAAAGGGGAGGGGTCCCCGACGACAGTCGGGGGGGGGGGGGGGTCCCCGACGACGAGGATCGAGGAAGGGGGGGGGGGGGGGGCACCCCCCCCCCCCCCCTGGGGGAGATCCCCTGGGGGAGATCCAGCGGCGCACCCTCATAATGTTGTTCTTCGTCGCTGATGTCATCTACGTGTCGTCGTGGAGGCTTTTCGGCGACGGTTTCTCGAAGTACATGCACTTCGCCTTCGTTCCTCTTCGGAGGGCGCGACATCCCCCGAGGTGCTCGCGTTGGAGCCCCCGCGCCCGCGCGCGGCGGTTCGGCCCTCGGGGCAGACCCGCGTTTCGCGGCCCGACTTACTCAGTCCTCCTCCTCCTTCTTCCCTCATCTTCCTCCTCCTCCTCCTCCTCCTCCTCCTCTCCTCCTCCTCCTCCTTTTCCGCAATCCACTCTCTCTCCCTCCGCCTCCCCCTCCTCCTCTTCCTCCTTCTCCTCCCCCTCCTCCTCTTCCGCTTCCCCCCCTCTCTTTCCCTCCTTCCTCCTCCTCCTCCTCCTCCTCCTCCTCCTCCTCTTCCTCCTCCTCATTTTCCTTGTTGGCGCCCACGAGGGGGTGGCGCGCCCCCTCTTCCTTTTATTATCATTTTATTATTATTATTATTATTCGTCTTATTTCTTCTTCTTTTGTTTTCTTTTTCCGTCTTCTTATTTCTTATTATTTGTTTATTCTTCTTCTTATTTTTCTTCCCGCGTGGCCCTCTGGCCCCACCCCTTAGCTGTCTCCAGCCCTCTCAAGCCCTCTCGGGCTCTCGGCCCCCTTCTCCGCTCCCCTCGGCCCCTCCGTCCTCCTTCTCTCTCTGCATGTGGCCCCCTCCTCCAGCCACCTCGGGCGGCTGCTTCTCTTGTGCTTTGGTGGGTTGTATTTTTCCTTGGGGCCACATTTGACCAAACAAAAAACTGCCCTCGGTCTGTGCCCTCGCTAGCCTCCTCCCCTTCGCTCCGGCCTCTCCATCGCGCCCCAGCTGGCAGGCATGGTCGCGATGGCCGCCGAGATGGCGCCCAGCGACCAGCCCTGGGTCGAGCTCCGGCATCCGGAGGGGGCCAGGGAGGGCGAGGCCGACTCTGCATGCATGTTCGTATTCTTCCCCTACCAGCGACGTGCAACCCAGCCATGCGTACGACGTGAAACAATCGCGGCGGGTGGTCTTTCGCTATTTTCGACCTCTGGGGGCCTTCGCTTGGCCGTGGGACTGTCAAAAACGAGTCAGGATACGGTAATTACGATCGAAATGTGTATGGAAGGAATGGGGACGAAGACTGACAGCAGTTCAGATCCGATTAGTTTTGAACCAGATTCGCTCTCGGCGCAGCCGCGGGCCGTGTCCGTGTAATTAAGACAGAAGGCCGCCTGCCCAACAGCGGCCGCTGTCCATGTTGGACCACACTTGTCGTTGGGTATCGAATTGCCTTTTTTCGTGCCCGTGTCGGGCGTCCAGAAAAAGGATGGAGAACACGGCTGGGCCTAAACGCTGTTTGGCTGCACTTCGGCTGTGTTTTGTTTTTTTTGGTTTGGCAGGGAGGTGCATGAAAACAGGTAGAGCAAAACGAACAACATAACGAAAACAACACGAAATACAACGTTTAGGTCCATCCCTGGGTTCCAGGGCATGGGTTGAGACCGCTGGTGGCCCACGTCTCAAAACACTGGGGAAAACACGCACAACCGTGCGTGCCTGGCTGTAACTTGGATCGGCAGGGGCGGAGGTTGCGCGCAGGCGCGTTGAGCGGTGCAGCCCGCAGAGCGGCCGTGAGGAGGCAGCCGGGAAGCACGCGAGCGATATACCCGCTGGTCGTTGAACATGGGAATTTCTGGATTCCCAGATCCCAGTCCACTTCGAGCGCCTTCCTATTCAAGAATCTATATGCCTTTGCTGTATTTTGTAATTCTCTGGGGGGGCGTGGACCCAATCTACTTAATCCACCTTCCTACTTCATGTTTTTACCTACTTCTTCCGACGGATGTATACCCAGGCATCCGGCGTCTCGAAAAAATTGGGAGGAGGGTGACTTGTATCGTTTTCGGCGTCTCGGGAGACCCATACCGGGTCCCGGGACCGGCAAACGGCGATTCGGGACGAAGGGCCGGTCCCGGGGAAGTGGTCGAGAGGTCGGGGGCCCGTGACTCGAAGAAGTCGAGACCCCAGCGTATGTTTGGGCCCATGCAGATGGCCCATGTGTGCACGTGCGTTCACGATGGGCGGGCCCACGCGTGTATACCCACAGGGGGGGTATCAGGGCTAGGGCCCCCTGGGCCAGGACCTCGACCGTCGGCCCAGTCAGGAGGCAGGCCCTTCGAAGGGTGCCAGAGATCTCCGAGCGAAAAGGAGGAGCAGCAGCAGCAAGTGCATGCCAGATGGTGAGCTCAGTCTTTCCGTCTCGGCCCCGTCGCTCTTGATGCCCCCCTGTCAGTGGGCTGCAGGGCAGGGCCTGCTCCGCTGGTCGCAGGGCTGCGCCCTTCTGCGGCTCAAGGCCTCCGAGGGGGGGGGGCCGTCGTCGAGGTCATCTCCGCCGCCGTCGTCGTCGTCGTCGCCGTCGCCGCCATCGTCGTCTCTGTCGTCGTCTGCCGTCGCCTTCGCCCGCCGTTGTTCCTCGTCGTCCTCATCCCCGTGGTCGCAGGACTACTTTGTATTTAGTTCACTCTGATGCCGTTCTCGGCTGCACTGCTACCTCGTCGTCCCCTCTGCCCGAGTAGCCCAGGTGGCGGGGACGAGGGGACGGAGGTGGATGAGGAGGGGGAGGTCAGGACAGGTGTATGGGGACTCTTGGGGGACAGGACTTGAGGAGGAGGAGGAGGAGGAGGCGGAGGAGGGAAGGAGGAAGAGGTGGAGGAGGTTCGTGGGTCTTTATGACTGTGTAGGATGGGAGATGATAATGAATGGCGATGGTAATGGCGACGGTGATGGGTATGATAATGGTGATGGTGGTATTAGTGGTAGTGGTCGTGGTAGTGGTAGTGGTAGTGAGAGTGGTGGCGATGATGGCGATGCTGATGCTGATGATGATGATGCTGATGCAGATGCTCTTGTTGTCGATTATGATGATGATGGTCATGGTGATGGTGATGATGCTAATGGTGCTAATGATGCTTATGACGATGATGCTGATGATGATGATGATGGTTATGCTGATAATGATGATGATGATGATGATGATGATGATGATGATGATGACGATGACGATGACGACGATGATGATGCTGACGCTGATGATGATGCTTGGTGTGGTGCTGTTGTCTTTGCTGCTGGTGACGATGATTCTGGCGATAGGGATTAGCATATGGATTTGGATGAGGACGAGGATGCGGAATATACAGACGCTGCTGCTGATGATGATGATGCTGCTGCTGCTGATGATGATGATGATGATGATGATGATGATGCGGGCGGTGGTAATGATGCTGACGTTGATGATGCTGGTGATGCTGCTGATGATGAAGACGATTGAGATGATGATGATGATGCTGACGATGACTATGACGTTGATAATGATGGTGATGATGATGATGAGGATGAGGATGAGGATGAAGTGTATGATGCTGATGCTGCGTGTGATGATGATGGTGGTGATGATGATGATGCTAAGGGTGATGAGCATGATGCTCACGATGATGCTCCTGATGTCGATGAGGAGGAGGACGATGAGGATGACGAGGATGATGTTGATGGTCGTTGTGGTGATGATGATGACGACGACGACGCTGACGATGACGAACACGATTATGATGATGCTGATGCTGATGATAATGATGATGCTGCTGATGATGATAATGATTATGATGAAGGCGATGAGGATGATGTGATGATGTTGATGATGATGATGATGATGCTGATGCTGATGATGATGCTGCTGATGCCGATGATGCTGATGATGATGCTGACGCTGTTTAAGGTGATAATGATGATAATTCTGATGCCGATGCTGATGATGCTCATGCTGATGCTGCTGATGATGAGGATGTTGATGACGATGATGATGCTGATGATGATGCTGCTGATGATGATGATGATGATGATGTTGAAGCTGCTGCTGCTGCTGCTGATGATGATGATGATGACGCCCCTGCTGCTGCTGATGATGCTGACAATGATGATGACGATGACGATGAGGATGATGTGTTGATGTTGATGGTGATGATGCTGATACTGATGCTGCTGATGCAGATGCTGCTGATGCTGATTATGATTATGATGCTGAATAAGATGATACCGATGATAATGCTGATGCTGATGCTGATGATGCTTATACTGACGCTGTTGCTGATGAGGATGTTGATGACGATGATGATGCTGGTGATGATGATGCTGTTGACGATGACGATGACGATGATGATGATGATGATGATGATGATGATGATGATGATGATGAAGATGATGATGATGATGATGATGATGCTGATGATGATGATGATGATGATAATGTTGATGATGATGATGATGATGATGATGATGATGATGATGTTGAAGCTGCTGCTGTTGATGATGATGATGATGCTGATGACGCCCCTGCTGCTGATGATGATGCTGATGATGATGAGGATGATGATGATGATGATGGTGGTGATGATGATGCTGATGCTGATGATGATGATGATGATGATGATGATGATGATGATGATGATGATGATGCTGATGATGATGATGGTGATGATGATGATGATGATGATGACGATGAAGAGCATGCAGATCATGAAGGGGAACCCGATTAGGACGAGGAGAAGGAGCTGGAAGAGGAGGAGGAGGAGGTCGCAAGACCGCCCGACAACGTGTCACAAGAAGAGCTCCTAGCAACATCGCCTTTTACGCAACTAACCGCGTTATTAGTGATTACCGCTTTTCGCTCACATACTCCAGAATTGGGTGAATCAGTGTTATTGTCATCATCACAACGGGCGTGCTGGCTGAAGCATCTTCGACACAGGATGTCGACAGAGCTGTTTGATTGCCTCTCATACCAAAAACGACACTCTCGCTCACGACATCTTGAGAACATGAGCACCATCACAGCAGACCCACATTGCTGCATATGTTGACGTCGTTTCTAAAAGTACCCATTGCGCGAGGGGAATCTTCACATAATTGATCTGTGCGCAACATCGTCGTGGTATCGTTTCCGAAGTGCTCGAATGTGAAAACAAGGGCCCGAAAAGGACATCAGGATTCCTCCGAACGCGCCATGAGGACTTTCGTCGAAATTGACGATTTCGCTGCGAACACCCTCAATCACATCAAGATGCAAACAATCGTGTTGGCATCGTGTTGGCATCGCTCTCGAAAGGTCTCACGACGACCCAAACCAGCTTCCCACAGGTGGCGATTTCGCCAGGGTCACTCTCAAACAGTTGATTCCCTACCTAGGCTCTGCCTAGAAGGTTTCTTACTCTCTGGGCTTAAAGGGGCCGGGCAGTGGAAAGCGCCCCGGACGGTTCCCCCAGTATCCGCCCCGCGGTTCCCCCAGTTACGCTCCCTTGGCCTAGCTTTGCTTATCTCATCTTAGCTTAGCCTAGCTTAGCTTAGCTCAGCTTAGCTTAGCTTAGCTTCGCCTAGCTTAGCCTAGCCTAGCCTAGCCTAGCTTAGCTTGTCTTAGCTTAGCCTAGCTTAACTCAGCTCAGTTTAGCTTAGCTCAGCTTAGCTTACCTTAGCGACGCGCAGCATTAGCATAGCATAGCATAGCATAGCATAGCATAGCATAGCATAGCGCAACATAGCATATCATAGCATAGCATAGCGCAGCATATCATAGCGCAGTATAGCATAGCATATCATGGCATAGCATAGCATAGCATAACGCAGCATAGCATAGCATAGCATAGCTTAGCTTAGCTTAGCACATCGCAGCATAGCATAGCATAGCATAGCGCAGCATAGCATCGCGCAGCATAGCATATCATAGCATATCATAGCATAGCATAGCATAGCGCAACATAGCATTGCATAGCATAGCATAGCGCAGCATATCATAGCATAGCATAGTATAGCGCAGCATATCATATCATAGCATAGCCTGGCATAGCATCGCATCGCATAGGGCAGATAGCATAGCATAGCATAGCATAGCATAGCGCAGTATAGCATAGCATGCCATAGCATGGCGCAGCATAGCATAGCATCGCATAGCCTAGCATAACATAGCGCAGCCTAGCATACCCTAGCATACCCTAGCATAGCATAGCGCAGCATAGCGCAGCATATCGCAGCATAGCATAGCATAGCATCACAGCAAAGGCAAAACAACAACAACAGCAAAGCAAAACACACGCAACGCAAACCAAAGTAAAAGCAAAAGCAAAGCAAAGGCAAGGCAAAGCAAACGCAAGGTTAACTTGCAGCGTTTCTACTACAAGATCTGCGAGTTGCGGAAGGGGGACCAGTCACGGCGATACGTGTACTATTGGTTATTCGACAGTCCCTGCGCGCCAAGAGTGGCGCCGGCGACTCCACGACATTGGGGAGGTTGTGGTCGCACCGTTCTGGTGAAACCGCATATTCCACCGCCGATGATGCACCGATCTGGGAGTTGCTGCTGCTGTACAATTTCGTAGGAACGCTCGGTGTAGCAAGTGTTGCACAAACTTGCTCAATGCCAAGTCGTGCGGTGTAGACCGGATACGGAGCATTCTCAAGCACACTCGTTGAACGAATGCGAAAACATGCGTGTGTGTGTCTGTGCGCAGGCAAAACAACGGCAAAATCAATCAAGAACAAAAACAAAAGCAAAGCAACAGCGACAGCAAGAATAAAAGCAAAAGCACAGACAAGGCAATGCAAAGCAAAAGCAAAACCAATGCGAAAGTGAAGATGTAGATGTATGTGTAGGTGTAGGTGTAGGTGTAAATGTGGATGTAGGTGTAGGTGTAGATGTAGATGTAGGTGTATCTGTAGGTGTAGATGTAGATGTAGATGTGAGCCTCGTTGTTGATGTTGATGTAGATGTAGATGTAGGTGCAGTTTTTAATGTAGCTGTTGATTTCCTAAATGCTCCAACTCATAGGTAGGGTCGCACTTGGATAATGTTTATAAGGTCGAACTGGGAATCCGGCCTAGAGGGGCCCAGCTCAGGCCCCGAGAAAAGCCCGCGCGCGCCCTCAAGACGAGCGACGCGTGCGATTTCGTTCCGGACATCATCACTAAAACACGAGTGTGTCGACATCGGCGCATGGAACAACGAGCGTTTCGCGCGAGACATCCACCCCGAAGGGGGAATGTTGTAGGATCCGCGCCACAGGAGCCCCGCAGACCACATCAACGCGGCCGACCACTACCGCTGACCACAGGAGCGTGGCAGACCAGCACGGGAGCACGGCAAATAGGCACGGCAGACCATTGGGGCACGGCAGACCCCCGCGGCAGACCACGGGCTTGCGGCAGACCAGCGTGGCAAACCACGGCGGAGTGGCTTGTCGGCGGTTATACTGTACGAATTTGTGCTGCATATCGACGATTGGGCGGCCATGCGGGACTGAGATTCCAGAG